ACTGAAATAGTCATCATTTAAAGTTATGGAACTACCATTGCAAAATTATAACTGAGACAGTGAAAAAGATTTGACCTAACTGACTCAATCTCGCTTTTAGCCTCCAAGCCATCCTTGCTCATTTCTGGGCATAGGCCGAACTAACTTTGGGAGGAACTTAGTTTATATAGTTTAGTTTTGAAACAGAGATAATAACAGCCGTTTCCCTAAACAAACCTCCTTACTGCCTGTTGACTAGACTGCCTAAAGCCACAAGATTAAAAGTTATGGTAATAATACTAAATTCAAGATGCAGCTATTTCATTAAACCAATATCAATGTCTTATTTATTAAAAAACTACACAAGCAAGCCAGGCATAGTGGCTCACACCTGTAATCCTAGCAGTTTTGGAAGTCAAGATGGGTGGATCACCTGAGGTAAGGAGTTTGAAACCTGGCCGACATGGTGAAACCCTGACTCTACTAAAAATACAAAAAAATTAGCCAAAACCCTGTAAGGGCAGTGCATTATCTCTGTAGATGGGGAAATCTCAGTTCAGGGTCTTGACTAAGTCACCTTCCAGAGCCAGTACTCGTAACCGTTAAGTGGAAGCCACCTGTGTAATGAAGCTTATAAGGCAGCAATGCTGGACTGATAATAGCAATGTGGTTGAACCATGGCACCTGTATAGCATCTGCCTTTCTAGAGCCCTTTGAACATGTCATCTGTTTTTGCTGTTGCCACCCCATCACACTGCCACATCCTTTTTACCCCCTCTCCTGCTTATATGAAGGTCCATTCACATACTGTCCTTAGACACACCTCCTGTCATCTGCCCTGTCACACATGAAGTCCTCAGTGTCCGTCGTCAGGGAAAATTGCTTGAAAACAGCCTTATTCACAAAGATACACATAAAAATTCTCATCCATTAAGATTGTTCTTCTCTGTGCCTCTGTATCCAGCCTTTTTTGGGTATCTCACATGTTTATATACACAGATATTTCTCATGCCATATGTCACACTCTTGTGCGTTAGGCCCCCCACAGACACCCTTACTGAGCCAGAGACAGACATTCCTTTATCTGTTTAGCAGAAGCAGTGGTGGGGACTTGCACCTCAGTCAGCAGCAGTCACAGTGATGGCAGTGGCTTATTTATTTATTCCTCTGCTCAGCAGAATACAACTCTTTGAGAGACCAGAATAATCTAAAATGCCAAGGCCTAAAGACAATTCTTGGTTCTCAGCTTCATGAAGGACCATCTCAGTGATGAATAACATCTTCACTGCTGTTATTAGGCAGCCCTTCTCCCTATCGTTACTGAAAAAGTGAGGAAAGGGTAGACTCTCTGTCACCTGGAGTGTCTATTTGTGATTAATTTAAGCTCAGGTGGGAGAGGGAGGTTAAGGGGCTGTATGTCAACCTGAATCCTCTTTTTTTTTTTTTTTGAGACAGCCTTACTCTGTCGCCCAGGCTGGAGTGCAGTGCCCTGAACTTGGCTAACCACAACCTCTGCCTCCAGGTCCAAGGGATTCTCCTGCCTCAGCCTCCCAAGTAGTTGAAATTACAGGTGTACACCACCATGTTCAGATGGTTTTTGTATTTGTAGTAGAGTCAGGGTTTCACCATGTTGGCCAGCCTGCTCTCAAACTCCTGACCTCAAGTGATCTGCCCGCCTCGGCCCCCGCAAGTGCTGGGATTACACAGACTAAGTTGTATAAACGCATGTGAATGCATGAGGTGCTGGGAAGAGACAGCATGTATAAGGTCATATAGAAAAGGGACGGATTATTGTATATGTGTGTGTGCATGTAAGAATTTTTATGATAAACTAAGGAGCCCATTGTGCCAAATGGTGCTGAGCCATAAAAGTTCTTGGCAACCTACTGCAGTTGCCCAACCCGCAGGATCCTGGCACTGGAACATATCTGGGCAGTTCTGTGTTGTTAGGCCATGGCAGGAAAATTTTTGACCCTTTGACATCATAAAAGCTTCCATACTCATCTTCAGTAAGACACCTAATGAATCAGGACCCAGATGTTTGTAGCAGTCCAGATCTGGGAGAGCAGGCTGTTTTGCGTAATTGTTATATCTGAGACATCCTAGTTACACTTAGACTAGCTGTTTCTCATCTGTAAAATGGAGACAACAGTATTGTTTTCAAACGTTGGCAGCACCGAGACAGCGCATGCCAAATTGCTCAGCGTGGTCTCTAGCATGGAGTTAGCTATGCTGATATAGCCGAATAAACAAGCGTGCTCCCTACAGCCCATCTTTACCAAGGCCACGATTTTTTTTTCACAAGGTTCTCTCCCTGCTCCCCCTCTTCATCAGAAACAAGTTCTGCATTGGCCTCTTCCCCAACAAGACTACTTATTAGCTCTGAGAGGGTGGAGAGAACTATTCATCATTTTCTTCTGTTGGTTTCATTCTCTTATTTGACTTGTGGAGACAAGAATTGAGAACATATAAAGGCATTTATCTTGCTTTATCAGGCTGCCCAGTACAGAATTCTCTCTATTCCAATGTAAATCTTAAAACAATTTTGTTACTATGTCCTCTGGCCTTTCCAATTGGAAGGAAAAAAATCTACACCAATATTCTGTACTAGAAAAATCTAAGTGACATTTGTCTCACCTTTTGTCATCTCAGCCAAAGTTAGGTAATAAAATGGAACTAAGCTTTACTGAACAAACTGCCTTAAAATACACTAAAACCGAGGCGCAGTGGCTCATGCCTGTAATCCCAGCATTTTGGGAGTTTGAGACCCGCCCGGCCAACTTGGCAAAACTCCATCTCTACTAAAAATACAAAAATTAGCTGGGTGCGGTGGCATGCACCTGTAGTCCCAGTTACTCCAGAGGCTGAGGCAGAATTACTTGAACCTGGGAGGCAGAGGTTGCAGTAAGCTGAGATCGTGCCGCTGCACTCTATCCTGGGTGACAGAGTGAGACTGTCTCAAAAAATACATATATACAATAAAACTACCTTTGATGTCTACAAGCTGCTCATATTTAGTTCTATTTCTTAAACTGCCTGGGTTTTTTCCTTATCTTTACCTGGCTAACTCCTGCCTCTTCCTCAAGACTCGGATGTCTTTCTCCAGGAAGCCTTTCCTAATGTCTTTTCCCGGGAAACATATATTTTTAAAAGTTAAATATCTTTACTCCAGGAAACCTATATTTATTCTGTCTACAGAAATGTCTTCTACTGCAATTTCTGTACTTGTCTCTGCCTTTAGGCTGAACCCACTAAGAAAGAGCAGGGATTAAACTTCATTCATTTTTTTACATTGCCAATGCCTGATATAAAGAATCACATAAATGTCTGAATGGGGTGAGTTTACACCTTATTCCTATTTGGTATGTATTATTAGTTTATGAGGCCATCTTGTGGCTAGATCATTTATTGCTATAAAAAGATGATCCTGGGTCAGGTGTGGTGGCTAACGCCTGTAATCCCAGCACTTTGGGAGGCTGAGGCGGGCCAATCACCCAAGGTCAGGAGTTTAAGACCAGCCTGACCAACATGGTAAAACCTCATCTCTCAAAAATACAAAAATTAGCTGGGTGTGGTGGCATGCTCCTGTAATCCCAGCTACTTGGGGGACTAAGGCGGATCACTTGAACCTAGGAGGCAGAGGTTGCAGTGTGCCTAGATTGCACCATTGCACTCCAGCCTGAACAGAGTAAGACTCCGTCTCAAAAAAAAAAAAAAAAAAAAAAGCAAAACAATGTCGTATTCTAACATTTATTTTTGACATTGATTTACCTGTTGTGCAAAACGTGACATAATATTTTTTAGGCTGTTTTATGTTGCATGGTTCTGTTTTCCTTCAGGGCCTTCAGCAATACAACCTCTAAATAGGTAGTTTGTGAAACTCTCAACTGTCTTCCTGGTAGGAGCCATAAAGGCTACTACATACTTAGAGGCTACTTATATAGTGAGTGACTAGGGAGATATGAAGGTGGGAAGGCCTAGATCTGAATGTCAGTTTCTATCACATCTTGGGCGACCTTTGAAAATAAATCACTCTGCATTAAAGTTCTCTGCAAAATGGACGTTGTCTTTTCCTTACTATGTAGTGTATGTAAGGTGCTTGGCACAGTGCATAGCATATCAAAGTGCCCAACAAATGGTACTTAGCTAGAATCTAACCAACCGTTTAATGCTCAAGACATCCCTCCTACTCCCAAATACAACAGAGACACCAAATATTCACCCATATCCTTCTCAACACCTCTAGTGAGGGTGAAAATTACTGTTGCTGGATGCAGCACATTCCATTCATAGCTCAGCTCTAACTTCTAAATATTATACATGTTTGTTTTTCCTAGTTATTTAAATATATAGGAAAACTTACCTTTCTATAAGTTGCCTTGTTAAAGATGTTTGATATAAAAATCATGAAATTTTATGAGCATTGTTACATGTATCTTTCATGTAATACTTTTTCATTATACTTGCAAATGGGGCAACACCTTAAAAGCAATAACTGACTTTGCTGGCTGGATGGTACTGTTAGACTTTACACTAATGGGTTTATAAAAGTTTTTTTAAATACTGGTAACTCAATGAATTTGTCAAATTTTAAGTTGAACTGTTCTTTAAGTCACTTAAAATATTAATATTATTCTGCTTGTACAAAACTAGGAAACAACAAATTGAACCTATAATGAGTTAACAGATCTCAGCTGGGTGGCTTTGTTGGCGTCAGATGTCCAAGGAGACATCTAAAAATGCCAGGCATCGTACATATGACTGGAAAGCTCAGACTGGATGTTTGGTTTCTACAGAGGAGTAGAGATCAGTAAAAACTACTATTTTTCAATAAACACGCCTTTTTCTTTAAAAATAACTTGAATAAGGGTTAATTTCTATCAGAGAGATTGGCAATTTATTTGAATTTCTGTCAACCTTTTTTGGAAGATTCAGTTCAATCCAATGATTGTCTTCATGGGCTGTTTGAGCTTTTCTAATTCCTCAGAATGAATGTTCAGAATTCTTTTTTTTACACTTAGGTGACTCTTGTCTCTGCTGCTCCGGGGAAAGTGATTTGTGAAATGAAAGTAGAAGAAGAGCATACCAATAAACTAGGCACTCTCCATGGCGGTTTGACAGCCACGTTAGTAGATGGTATTTCAACATGGGCTCTGCTATGCACGGAAAGGGGATTACCTGGAGTCAGTGTCGATATGAACATAACGTATGTATGCAAACCGTATTCCAAATACCTTCAGTGTGGTAACTGTATCAACAACTGAGACTAAACACATTTATAACATTAGTAACACATGAGATTGGTGAGCTGCTTATCTCCTTAAGTGCAGCTATCGATTTTGTCCTAAAATACTCCAGGGCCTTAAAAGCTAGAACTAGAGCAGTAATTTCCTAGTACAGTGTGTATAAATAGTAAAGGGGGAATGATCCCAAACATTCAAGTGCAGTGGCATGATCTTGGCTCACTTCAGCCTACGCCTGCAGGGCTCAAGCAATTCTTCTGTTCTCCTGCCTCAGCCTCCCTAGTAGCTGGAATTACAGGTATGTGCCACCATGCCTGGCTAATTTTTGTATTTTAGTAGAGATGAGGTTTCACCATGCTGGCCAGGCTGGGCTCAAACTCCTGACCTCACGTGTCTGCGCCCACCTTAGCCTTCCAAAGTGTTGGGTTTTAAGAATGGGCCGCAATCCTGGATCTCTCCCTGTGACTACACAGACATGCTCTGAGTTAAACTACATGATTAGGGAGCAGTGCCCCTTCACTGCAGGGCCAAACTTCCAGAATGTAAAACACTCAGTTCCAACATGAACTGGTACTATGGCCCACCCCATTCAATAAAGAGCTGGGTCCAAGGATTTACTTTCAAGACAGCTGCTTTTTCCACCTAAGCAACAGAAAAATGTAATTGAGAGGTTAGGTTGAGAGGGCCATTGTGACGAGATATTTCCAGGTAATGGAAATAATATAGGCTTTTAAGGAATCTAAATCTTTTCTCAGTTTTACTTAAGAAACATTCAGCCCTTCTTTAGGGAAATAAATTGAGGGTAAAGCATATCGCAAGATGCAGCCAAATGCTCTTTTTGAAATTAAGATGTACAGAAAAGAAAGGCTCTGCTTATGTTACTGGTGAGCATATTCAGCAGTCCTTATTTCATGTGATAAGTGGTAAGACTAGTTGATGACTTGATTTACCCCAAAGTCTCTCTTAAGAGCAGAGAGATCTTCAAATCTAGCACCGCATTTCATGATCTACTAAGGTACTGTTGCTTTTACAATCCTATGGAATTTTTAATAAGTCAAACATAGTCTTGTCCTTTCAAAGTATGTGTTGCCAAAAGCATTGGCTCTTGATGAGCTACCTAAGCTTCAAAAACTGATTCACTTGAACAAAAACTAGGGCGTAGTCTCTCAAAAATTAGAGATATTTCAAAAGTAAATGAACAATGTTTCAGTAAATGAACGCCTCATGATTCACTCTTTGATTTACTTGACATGGTACCACATTTACTGTACCCTTGCACATTAAGTTCTATATTACACAGACTGAGGATGCCTGTTAGACTGTGACTTAGGTTAAAAACAAGTGAGGTTCCAAAACAACAGGGGAAATTTTAGATTACTGACAAAATGCGAATTTCCAAATTGCCCAGATTGAATGTTTGCTCATCTGTAGCACAAAGGGTTTCTTATCTTCCCTCAGTTTAAGTTAATGGCTGTTAGCCAAAATTCTTGATTTCTAAGACAACATTTGGGGAGATAATCAAAACTAGGCAAACTACTACTAAACATACCATTTTTCATTTCTTTAAATTGAGGTAGATGAATTCAAGACAAGTCTGTTCTTTCCAGCAATAAGATCTGCCTTTTTTTTTTTTTTTTTTTTTTTTTTTTGAGATGGAATTTGCTCTGTTGCGCAGGCTGGAGTACAGTGGTGTGATCTTGGCTCAGTGCAACCTCCGCCTCCAGGGTTAACACGATTCTCCTGCCTCAGCCTCCTAAATACCTGGGATTACAGGCGCCCACCACCATGCCCAGCTAATTTTTATATTTTTAGTAGAGACAGGGTTTCAATATGTTGGCCAGACTGGTCTCGAACTTCTGACCTCAGGTGATCTGCCTGCCTCAGCCTCCCAAAGTGCTGGGATTACAGCTGTGAGCCACTGCACCCGGCCAGATCCACCTTTCTTATACCTCCTAGCCGTAAACACTGAAGACTTATTTTGAATTTGGCAAAAATACATATCCTTTTTAAAAGCTTCCTTTTTAAAAATTGTGTATATATATATATATATATACACACACACACACACATACATATATATATACACACATTTTTTTTTTTTCAAGACAGGGTTTCACTGTGTTGGTCAGGCTGGTCTTGAACTCCTGACCTCAAGTGATCCACCTGCCTCGGCCTCCCAAAGTGCTGGGATTACAGGCGTGAGCCACCGCGCCTGGCCTAAAGGCTTCCTTCTAAAAAGCAGAAACATAAAAATAAACTATAAGGAAATTATTTCCCTTTAAAACATTAACATTTGTTTTAAACAATCCTTATCTCCAAAAGTTTTTCTTTTTAATTAGCTAGTCAGCTGAGTTAAAGACAACTTATAATTACAAGTTGGTAGGATATAGATCTCTTAAAAATATTTGTAGACATTACATCACCGAGACTGTAAGGACATTGTATCAATTCCTTATAGTTGTTATCTTGTCATTTTAGAATCAAATAAATTCTTTTTTTTTTTTTGAGACGGAGTTTCGCTCTTGTTACCCAGGCTGGAGTGCAATGGCACGATCTCGGCTCACCGCAACCTCTGCCTCCTAGGTTCAGGCAATTCTCCTGTCTCAGCCTCCTGAGTAGCTGGGATTACAGGCACGCACCACCATGCCCAGCTAATTTTTTGTATTTTTAGTAGAGACGGGGTTTCACCTTGTTGACCAAGATGGTCTCGATCTCTTGACCTTGTGATCCACCCACCTCGGCCTCCCAAAGTGCTGAGATTACAGGCTTGAGCCACCACGATGGCTAGAATCAAATAAATTCTAAGTATGGATAGGACAATATATAGACACCAAGTGATAATTTCACCTAAGAAGTTAAGGAGAGTAAATATAAGGTGGAGGAAATCTTTCACCATCCCCAAGTAAATATGAAGTGGGAAACTTAAGGGAAAAAAAAGGGAGGCAAGAAAACTACTTCTCATATATTTGGGAAAAGAAACTTGTGTGGGTAGCGAACGGGCACGATTAGTACAGAAACTTACCAATACTACTGTTGTAAACTATTTGTACACACTGTCGTGAGATGCACACAACTTTCCCTCTGAAAAATTCTTTGCTCTTAACTGTATTCATTTCCTTTCAAGGTACATGTCGCCTGCAAGATTAGGAGAAGTTGTAGTGATTACAGCACAGGTTCTGAAGCAAGGAAAAACACTTGCATTTACCTCCGTGGATCTGACCAACAAGGCCACAGGAAAATTAATAGCACAAGGAAGACACACAAAACACCTGGGAAGCTGAGAGAACAGCAGAATTACCTAAAGAAACCCAATAATGAATGACAAGTGCAAATTTGACTCAATTTTAATTCTTGAAATAAACTAGCAAAACCTTAAGTAGCTACAAATATTATTTTAATTTTAAGGAAAAAAACCTGGAAACCAAGTAGGGTAGAGTGAAGGTGGGGGTGTCTACATTTTTGTTTTGTTTTTTCATTTTAAGCATCGTTTTTAATCGTGTGATAACTGGGTGAAAAATTCTTAGCTCAATGTGTTTTGAAAACAGGTAAAGCAAAGAAGCTAGCAGGGCCATTCTTAGATTAAAACCAAAGTCCAGTATTAAGCTAAAGGAGAAATAGAAATTACTGTTTCTGTTTGTGCTGCTATTGCCAAATATCACAGACTGGATAGCTTATGGGAACAACAGAAATTTTTCATGGTTCTAGAGGTTGGAAAGTCCTGTGTGAAGGCCCCAGCAGATCCTGTCAGATGAGGGCCCGCTTCCTGGCTCATGGATGGTGCCTTCTTGCTATGTGGTGGAAGGGGCAAATGAGCCCTCTGGGTTTTTTTTTTTTTTTTTTTTTTTTTGAAACAGAGTCGCCCTGTTGCCCAGGATGGAGTGCAATGGCACGATCTCTGCTCACACCTGGGTTCAAGTTATTCTTCTGCCTCACATGTAGCTGCAACTACAGGCCTGTGCTACCACACCCAGCTCATTTTTCTAACTTTTTTCTAGAGATGGGGTTTCACCATGTTGGCCAGAATGCTCTCGAACTCATGACCTCAGGTGATCCACCTGCCTTAGCCCCGCAAAGTGCTGGGATTACTGGTAAGAGTCACTGTGCCTGGCCTGGGTTCTCTTTTGTAAGGGCACTTACTCCAATTTTCAGGTTTCTGCCCTCATGATCTAGTAACTTCCCAAAGACCCGCACCTGCTAATACCACCTTGGGGGTTGTGATTTTAACATACAAATTTAGGGGGCACACATTCAGACCATAGCAAGTGCTACCCCATACTTAATTTCCTTTTTTAAGATAGGAAACTTCAAAACATATGAACTACAGCCCATCATGAAAAATAAAATAGACTGGGCCATATGGCCTAAAATAGACCTCAATAAAGTTTGAGGTAAAGCAAGTTAGTGATACAGGAAATGGTCCAGTAGAGGGGAAGGGAAAAAAGCATGCTACTAGCCCCTTTCCTTGTACCGAGAATAAAACCATGCAGATCCCAAATCTCCCAGTCTACAGTACCGCAAAGACCGAGTTCATTTCTCAAGTCTCCAAATACAGCTGACAGTGGCACTCTAAGACAGGGTCTGTCACCGAAGCTGGAGTACAGTGGTACAATCCCAGCTTTTTGTAGCCTCAACCTCCCAGGCACAAGACATTCTTCAACCTCAGCCTCCTGAGTAGCTGGAACCACAGACATGTGCCACCATGCCTAACTTTATTTTTGTAGAGATAAGGTCTGTTTGCCCAGGCCAGTTGCAAACTCCTAGGCTCAAGCCATCTTCCCGCCTTGGCTCCCAAAGTGCTGGGCTTACAGGTGTGAGCCATGGCACCCAGTTTGATTTCTATGTCAGGGAGTCTTAACATTTCATGACTAAAGACTAGAAAGGAAGCAGCTTTAAGTCAATTTAACAATCAAATTAGCAGCTAATGGCAAATCCTTTCCCTACATTAGATCGCACACTCATCTGTCCACTCAAAGGGCAGAAAGAAGTGGACTCCATAGTAGCAAAAAGCATACAGGAGTTTACTTCTAGTTTCCCACTTAAAGGAACCTGAAGTCCCTGAACAAACAGGGTTTGCGGCTGGGACAGAAAAGTTACAGTCTCATGCCTGAAAGTAAGGAGATGCTCAAAATAATAAAGGCAAGCAAATTATGATTTGGAGGGGAAAAAATGAGGCCGTAATGTTTAGGTAGATAATAAATGGCAGAGATAGAACCCTTTCTTACAACAAATGCTCAAAATGGACGGGTAGATTTGGAAAATCACTATTTTGTAACCATCACAAAGACTGGTTTTAGTCTGGAAAGCATCAAGGGAGCTCCTCATAAAGCAGGATATTTTCACGTTGATTGCTAGTAATAAATACCATGTATAGGACAAAACCAGGACACTTTGACCATGTACTCAGAAGTAACATCAATGAAGAGAAGATAGAAAGTATGCTTGAGAAGGGTATAATGACAATCTAAGCATGAACAAACAATTCAAATGCAAAATGAGTAACAATTTACAAGAAAAATTGCCCTGTATTCCAAAAAAAACGCAGAGGTCACGAAACACAGAAAGGCTAAGGAACTGTTTCCACATTAAAGACAACCGAGGGCAACTGAATTCAATGATCCTGTAATCCAGGGGGATTAAAAAAAAAACGCTACCAAGGATATTGGGACAAAATGAATATGGATGGTAAAAAGTATCACATGCCCTGAGTTTGGTAATTTTTCTGTAGTTATATGAAATATTCTTGTACTTAGAACATATGCCAAAGTACTAAGGAAGGGTTAAGGAAGCACAAAGTATGCCACAAACTCAAATGGCTCAGAAAATATGTATAAATATAGGTAGGGAAAATGAAAAAAATGTGGCAAAATAATAAAAGAGAGTAAAGATTACACAGGAGCCTTCACGTTACCCTGGGAACTTTTCTAAATTATTCAAAAAATAAAAACTTAAATGGCTGCTGAAATGCCTAACTTGGTGAACGTTAAGTGTAATTCAATATGATAAATTAAGAGCACAGGCCCTAGAGCCAGACAGCCTGGTTTTAAATCCTCCACTACTTACGATCTGAGCTTGAACAAGTTACTTAACTTTTGCATCTATTTCCACCCAAGGTTGAGAGGTTAAGACAAGAGCTTACAACAGTACCTGGCTGTAACAAACATTCAAAATGTTATTTCAAATGAATTCTAACTTTTAAATGGTAAGAGGACACCTGAAAGGATTGAAATTAAGAATGGCATTTTCTCATGAAGCAAGGCATAAGGCCAGACTGCTGTTGAAAGCTGACAGTATATCCTTGATGCCTGTTCTTGTTGAAGTTACACACTCAACTGTCAGTATTTTTCTTCTGAATTTACTGTTTAGCCCGAGCCTATCAGATGAAATAATCCCCTAAGGTGACCGGTAACATCAATGAAATGGAAAAAAAAAAAGTTAACACTTCAAACTTTATGTATTCACCTGAACAGTCAGGGAACTTTCACCTATTTTATTTAGGTTTTCTTTTTTTTTTTTTTTTTTCCTCGAATTCCAACCAGAAGCTAAATACAATCGGAAACTGGTAAGCACTAGTTTTACTCCAAAGGAGTAGGATCATTCAGATTTAGTCCAATAAAAGTATGCAAACTTTAAGCAAAGCTTTTCTTCATTTAAAAGAAAAAAAACAAACCTATACAGTAGTCTTTCCTTATGTTCATTGCACAAAATGAGTTCTGCTTTTAGAACTTTGACACTCAATGGTTAATTTTACAATTTAAGGTTCCAACTTTATAACCTTTTTCTGCTCCCAAAACACCCTCGTGAGTTTTTCTTTCGGAGGGTGTAGAAACCATTTCTGCACAATTCACTGGAATTTTCTTTGTAATAAAAATCTCTTCTCTGTAAAACCAAAAAACAAAACCAAGACCAAAAAGGAAAGTCTTCTACCTATCATGGTTTCTGCAGCTATGAATGTATTTGTTTTATAGCTGCTTTATAGCTACTTCAGACTCCAGATCTGCTTTAATGTGTGTAACTGCATCCACACACAGCAGAATACTCTTACAATAGCAACTTGGGAAAAGAGATCTGGAAAAAAAAATACATATATTTATGAGTACCAGGAAACAAACATGGCCCAGTAAAATATGAGGCAAAAGCCTACAATGAGATGCGTTTTTCATTTAAGATTTCTTTCCCATGGTTGTGTTTTCTTTTTTTAAACAACCAGTTCTGGTCATTAGTACTGAATCTGACAGTGCTCTGGAACAACTGTGATTATAGCAAAGCTATTATGTTTTTTAAAATGTTATTTATACCTGTTACATTCACTTCTCACCCTCTAAATACTGATGACAAATGTCAGAGGCAAAAACCAGCACACATGGGAAGACCATACAAATTAGTATCACCTTGTGCTTTCAGATACATTTAAGCATTTCAGTGTACAATATAGTCCTTTCATTTCACATTTTTAGTAAGATACTGATGCAGTGCAGCAAATATGCAAAGCATCTTCTTTCACATAGTCTGTGCAGAAGACATCTAATTTTTTTTTAAGTTCTGAGCTAAAAATGATTTAAAAAAATCCAGGATGAACAAGTTTCAAAATGCATAGTGTTCTGTGCATGAGTCCATTTTCTTTAAACTCTGAAAGAATAAAGTGTTAAGAAAACAAGAAAAAAAATGCTGCTGCATTCTCTGATCTTCTCCATTTTGCTGATCAGTACTCTACTCTGGCATGTAAGGACGGAGGTGATCCTCTATGGTGCCAACTGCCCAGTGGGTGAGCTGTTCCTGTGGCAGGTAGAGGCAGATGCTGCATAACTTGAAGATTGTAGCTTTGTTTTTTGGAGTCTGGAAGGGCAAACATATATTTTTAATATATAAGACTTTAACATAACGGTCACATGAAGTCAATCTCCCACAAACCTTCCCCTGTAAGATACAGGAAAAACAGAGTTAAGAGAATTTATGCATAATTAAAAGAGAAAAAGTTAGGGAAGTAGGCCAGGCACAGTGGCTCATGCCTGTAATCCCAGCACTTTGGGAGGCCAAGGTGGATGGATCATGAAGTCAAGAGTATGAGACCAGCCTGGTCAAAATTGTGAAACCCAGTCTCTACTAAAAATACAAAAATTAGCCAGGTGTAGCGGTGGGCACCTGTAATCCCAGCTACCTGGGAGGCTGAGGCAGTCGCTTGAACCCAGGAGGTGGAGTTTGCACTGAGCCGAGATTAGGCCACTGCACTTGAGCCTACGCAACAGAGCAAGACCCCGTCTCCCCTCCCTGCTCCCCCAAAAATTAAGGAAGTAAACCAGAGATAACTTGCTATAAAAAATTAAAGAGGGCCAGGTGCAGTGGCTCACGCCTGTAATTCCAGCACTTTGGGAGGCTGAG